TTCTCCTTATTTTGTCTAGGACACTCACACATTATTTGCTGAAAAAGCTATCTTCTCCATTCATTAGATTTCAAAGACAAGAAAATTTAAAAAAAAAAGAAAAACTATTAGTTGAATATTAAAAGAAGGAAAAATGATTAATCATATTTGTAAACTCTTTAGATTGCTGAGAATTAAGTGTTAAAATGGAGTGCTTAAGGAAAAGAGACTCTGGCTGGATGTGGTGGTGCATGCCTTTAAATCCTAACACTTGGAGGCAAAGGCAGACCCATCTCTGTGAGTTCGAGGCCAGCCTGGTCTGTATGAGAAACCCTGTCTCAAAAAACAAACAAACAAACAAACAAACAGAAACCACAAAACAATAACAACAGAAAAGATCCCTGCAAAGAGGGGAGGGGCAAAACCTTATTAGCTGCTCTTAGAGAAGACGGAGTTCAGTTTCCAGTACCCACATTGCCTCGGGCACTGCATACGTGTAATTGAAATAACATACATATATACATACATACATACATACTAGCACATAAAACAGCAATAAATAGAGCTTTAAAAAAAAAACAGAAAAAGAGACTCAGTCTAGTCTAAACATAAGCAATGAAACCAAAATCTAGAACTCAGTGATAGAAGACTCCCAACATCCACCGTCATTTCTCCCCCAGCCTTCCTGTGTACATTTGACTTCTTCATTTATGCAAACCCGAGGCATCCTGTACTTGATCTGATGTAAATGTTGGCATTTCTTCACTAGAACTTTTCTTTTTAAGTGTTTTATTTTGGAGCAATTTGGAATTTGCAGAAAAGTTTCAAGAATATTCCAGACTACATCGTGTACCCTTTCTCCAGGACACTGATTTCACCAGTTCTTCAGGAGCTGACGTGGTGAGGGGTGAGGTTTGCAGTTTGGAAGATGGATTTGAAAATGAACCCAAAGGCCGAACCCGCAGTTACTGTGGAAGTAAACTCTGCTGCACTTCCCAATCTATTACATATGAAGAATTAGTCAGCAGGTTGCCATTTAGTCCTTCATTCTGTCATCACTTCTGAAGAGGCACCGCACCTGCTCGGCTCCAGCACAATACTCTTTCCACTTTCTCCACGGTTACGTCACTCGGGTGACAGCTTCCTATCTACGCTCAGAAGCTAATGCCTTGTCCCCTGTGCTCCTGGGTCACCACCACAGGGTTCAGAACAGGGCTTGGTTGACACTGAATGAAACGTAGCTATCTTTGGCAACTAAGAAATGAATGAATGCTTACATAGGTTAGTAAAGTGTCCGTGTGTGTGTGTATGTCTGTCTATGTGTATATGTGTCTGTCTGTCTGTCTATTTGTGTGTGTCTGTGTTTATGTCTGTCTGTGTATGTGTCTATGTGTGTTTCTGTGTGTGTCTAACTATGTGTGTGTGTATCAGGGGTGACATATGGCACACAATGAAAGACAAATCCGTCAGATGATTCTGAGTTCTGAGATGTTAACCTTCTATTCCCAGTCACACACAGCAGAATTGCGGGCAGTCATCTCCTCCACCGTCACTCTTTACAGGAACACGACTCAGCACCGTCGCTTTCAAAGCCAGCTCTCATAAGCCCATCTGTGCCGTTGTGCTGGCTCACTCAAACTATTTCCTGGCCTTATTCATTTGATGCACCAAGTCAGTGAGATAAAATTTAAATAATGCTCCAAATTAGAATAATTAAAACATGAGTCATTCTTTCTGTAAAAACATATTTGAAAAATTCATGATTACTGGACACTACTGTGATTCAGAACAAGGCACTGTAAGAACGAGCAGGCCAGGAGATTACGAGACTGTGGGTGAGCAAGGTGTTATGGTCAACTTGACTCCCACCGCTGACCTCTGGGATTAACAGCAGACAGGGGGCTGAGAAAGGGCTCCTCGTGCCTGTATCATCTATAAATCCTTCCGTTTCCGCACAGACAAGCAGTATAAATGTGTCCAGAAATCAAAGCCCTTGATCACCTGACTGTCCCAAAGAAGAAACAATCATTCCAGATGAAATACCACAAATTATCCATTTCCCAAATAAAAAGAAAAAAGGTGATGGACATGGGGGCACCTTTGGAATTCTCTGCTGCATTTAGGGATTGACTCTTCAGCCTGGAGTGCCCCATGAGCAAGTGTGGACACTAACACACACATTCAATATGGCACAAACTGATCCCAAGAGCACAGGAGACTACTGCCCCTCCTGAAACATCATTCCCAGCATAGGATGCACTGAGTTTCAACAACTCAAAGTCTCTGACAAACTAAAGATTTAAAAGAATAACTCTCAATGCCAAGAAATATATCTAATATTAGCACCAAAATGAAGTTGAAGGAAAAATTCATTTCCTGATTTCATATATGCATTTCGAAAGTGCTCATAATGCTAATAAATGTTTAAGAAAACGAACCTTACAATTAACTTCTTTCTCTACTAAAAAATAGTGCAATAATTAGTCGCTTAAGGCTAAGATTATTAATTTGAAGCTATTTTAAATATCTAAAATATAAACTGAATAGTTTTATAATGTTATTTTGAACCACAAGATTTTTCAATAGAAAAAATATGTAATTATTTTTATTTTTTAAAAAATCCTATAACATTCACTTACGAAAATCCCTAAGAATTCTTTATTTTGATGGATGTATTTCCTATCAGGTTCTACAAAAAGATCAGGAAACGTCAATGATTCCCAAGGTTCAGCTACTGCTTCTAAAATCCATTTGGTACTGACAGAACCAAGGTTTGTAAAAAAACAGTTGAGTGCCGGAGCTCAAGAGGAGCTGAAGCAGCCTGCGCTGGCAACAAAAATCAGGGCCAAAGAAACTAACATCTCAAGTGTGCTTCTGGAATGCTCTCGACTGGTACGGAGCTGGGACTGAGTGTAGGCACATGCTGTGCACGTCAAGGTTCACTGTGACTCGGTGTAACAGGCTGTCCTCTGCAAATGTCCATGTGCAACCTGAAGGGCGCCAGAGAACAAAGCAAGCTTTATTTGAGCTTCTTCAATAACAACAAAAACTTATGTTATAAAATGTTTCCATGGCAAAGACCCACAGTTGGGTCCCATATGAAATTAACAGCAGTACTTCTAAAAAAATTTCAATTTAGGACAAGATATTGATCAAGGTGGGGGGAAAGTTATTGATTAAATACAACTCACTGTACACGTCGAATTCTGATGGCAATACCTCTGAGTGCCAACATGTTGCGTATGCCAAGGGCACAGCAGACCGATCACGCAGTGAATCACCCTTGGGCACAGATGTGCCAGTTAGAAAATGGACTCTACAGATGCCATTCAAAGAGAAGCCAGGTCAATGAGTCGCTTTTGTACCCCTGACCACATGACAATTAAATCAAGCAATGAAACCCTTAGGTCACAAAGTGCCCAACCTTAAGATGACCACACCAGTGCGTGAACAGAGCACTTCAGTCTGCATCCTATGCCAGTCGGCGCTCTCAAGATCAGTGGGCCCATCTCATCTCGGAAAAAGCTTGCCTCTCTCTAAGCAAGCTTAGTAAGTCCTAAGGGGACAACTCTCGACGCTCCTGCGTCTGATATAAAATAATAAACGCTGAGATAACAGCAACGAATAAAGACAATCGGTTGTGCTGCAGTCCACAGAGGTGAGTTCACGGAAGACGAATGCAGAGTTCTTCAATGCCACGGCTTTCAAGGGGGTGCCTGGCAGGACCAATCGATCTGTAGGATTCGTTGATTAAATATTAATGGAATGCTAAAGACTATCAGAAAGTAATCATTAGGATGGTAATGAGATCACATTGCATATTCTCATGGTTTTCTGACTTTTTGTGTGGAGTGTTCATACGGTTTAAAAACCAACTGATTTTTAAAAGTTTTCATATATGAAAGTGATGGCCTAAAAATTGGCCTGCTTCCTTTTAGTTTGCAAACCATGTTGTCTTAATTATGTAGCTCTAAGTAGAAAGCTTCTCACATCACATGATTCCACTAAATTATTACTGAGCCTTGCTTCCCAAACTCCCAAGAGGGACCTGTCCATGCAAAAACAGGAGTATTATTGGAATTCGTGAAGACTGTTCCCCAGATTACACACGTCTACACTACCAATGCCTCTATCAGCACCCAGAGCAAGAGTGAGTAGTGGAGGTGCAGCTTGCAAAACTCCCCCCAGACTACTAACACCATAGCCTTCCCCATGGGAAGGCAGAGGCATGTGGATAACAAGGAGGAGTGTATCCCAAAGGCCAAACACCCCAGGCCAACCATGCCAAATGGAATCTATGACCTGGCGCTGAAAACGTAGTAGGTGCAGATGGCAAAGATGGCAAGCAGATTATAAAGCATGGGGGGACTCTGGACTCATCACTGTAGTCTCACAGGCAACACCAGAACCACCAAGTGTCTGCTGACTACAGAAAAACAGATAATAATATCTGTAAGCCTGCATGCTCATACTGTGCTGCCTACATGCAGCCATATAAGGAAACCAAAGCTAAGACCACAGCCATTTTTTGTTTTTTGGTTTTTTTTTTTTTTTTTTGATTTTTCGAGACAGGGTTTCTCCGTAGCTTTTGGTTCCTGTCCTGGAACTAGCTCTTGTAGACCAGGCTGGCCTCGAACTCACAGAGATCCGCCTGCCTCTGCCTCCCGAGTGCTGGGATTAAAGGGACCACAGCTATTTTTATGTTGAGGTCTGCAACCTCTCTCCCAAGGAGTGAAGTGTGCTCCTGTTTCCACATAATGTAGAGACCGTAGGCAGAAATATAGAAGTTAGCCAATATTTGTGAACATTTAGGTCCTTGCCTTTAAAAGGAGTCAAATGGAACATTCACTGAGATGACTAAACATAATGAGGATTGTGACGTGTTATTGAAGGGCAGTCAAACAGGGAGGTATAAAGAAACACCTTCCTGTTCCCTGGTGCTGTGTCATCATCATGTGGAGTCATTTGGCACTGCCTGGTCTGCCCTGCGTTTGCAGGAAGTGTGCATTCTGCACCCTCACCTTTGCCTTGTGTCGAAGTCTTCTAGCTTGCCTGCACCATTAGCTTCTTAGTGAACTGACCTCAGATGCCTTCTGCTATTCCTGGGACACAGTCCGCCAGTCTGTTGGCACTGGTGGTGCCTTAATTGTCCTCGTTAGCTGTTTTCCCGGCAGGGAGCAGAACCTGGAAAAGAGGGATGACAATCATACAGGACATTTCCAAAGAATGTTCAAGACACTCTCAGGAGGATGCCCCCCAATATCTCTCTGCATGACAAAGTTTGTACCAGGCACCTCAGCTTTTATCTCCTCCATTCAGTCTTACACAAATGCAAAGATAAGAACCCTGAATTCAGTGCTCGGTCACATTGCAGATTCCCAATTACACTCTGCCCAGAGTCTCAAGGGAAAACCCTCTACGTGACACAGCAGGTATTTCCAGTGAGGACAAAGTACATTGTGTGGAACCAAGCTTAGCTTTCCCATGATGGAGGTGGGTCTTGTATCTTATCTGTTGCTTTCATTGGTTAACTAATAAAGAAAACTGCTTGGCCTGATAGAACAGAAAATTAGGTAGGCAGAGTAGACAGAACAGAATGCTGGGAGAAAGAAGCAGAGTCAGGGAGTCGCCATGATTCTCCCACCCAACACAGACGCAGGTTAAGATCTTCCCTGGTGAGCCACCTCGTGGGCTACACAGATTATTAGAAATGGGTTAATCAAAGATGTGAGAATTAGCCAATAAGAGGCTAGAACTAATGGGCCAAGCAGTGTTTAAAAGAATACAGCTTCTGTGTAATTATTTCTGGTAAAGCTAGCCAGGTGGCGGGACGCAGCCCGCCACAGTTCCTTCAACATTCCCATGAACGGTGGATGCCAGGCGGTGCTTTAGAGAAGACAAGCACAAAGAGGGCTCATCACATGAGAACAGAAATCTCCAGTTCCATGGCTCCGACAGGACCCTGTTGTCGTCTCTAATTGGCCTTTCAAGAACAGAGCTGCTTCTGACTTTACCACCACAGAATCTAGTTTTCATGATAGATCACTCAGGAAGTGAAAACCACAGAATGAGAGAATAAACGCTTACTTTAAGAATAAAGGAAAAAGTCAGGCCTAAAGCAGAAGCTGCACTGATTACTCTCTGCCCTGAAACACGACGGCAGCTTTTCCTTCAAGCCATAGACCTCTCTAGCAAGCTCATTTCTTCACACGGAGACAGCGTTAAAAGTACTCATCAAGTCAGATGCTGTGGTCCGCATCTATACTCCCAGTTCCTGGGAGGTTGAGACAAGAGGGTTTCGATTCTGAAGTCTACCTTGGTTTCTTAGTGAAACCCTGCCTTGGAAAAATAAGTAAGTAAATAAATATAAATAAATTATTTCTCAGATTTAATTATTTTAAACTATGTACGCCATCCGCTTCCTAACATGACTTACTGAAAATGCAAAAGAGAGCTGTCCACCCTGATTAGTGTGGACAGACTGACTGCTCCATTTTAAAGGGGAGTTAAGGTCAGATCTTATCCTGTAGTTTACACTGGCCGGGAACTTCTGGAAATCCTCCTGCCTCAGCTTCCTAAGTGCTGGCATTACAGGGAGCCAGTATGACCAGCGTGATTGCTTTGTTAAGTTACATCTTTCTGCCAAAAAAGTATTTCTTCCAAATTCCTCTCTATCTCTCAAATCAAAAATAAATCTACGGTGGGTGCTATATTTTGTAGATCTAAGCAAGCGTAACCATCCCTCATGATGATGGTGTGGACAGACCGGTTAACACCCATCCAGGTTGTGAACCGGTGCTCAGGATGGACCTTTTTCTTTCTGGCACATGGGATCCCATTTATGCCCTTTAGTCTCACATAATTAATTGTAGGCAGATGGTGAGATCTAAATTTTCAGAGTAGAAAGTCTACTGGCCGCTTCTCCTTGCTGTTGCCAGTGATGGATTCTGTCACACTGTTGGTGCAAACTGAAGGAGGTAATACAGTCAGACTTCTGGGCTATGTGGAAGCCTTTTTACTCACCGACCCCCATCCTCCTCCCTAGTCATTCTGCGCCATTGGAAAAGTGAGAAGGAAAAGAAGAACAGAGGATCATGGGACACAATCACAGTTTCCCACCCTCACCTCTATCCCTGCTCTAAAATGCATCAGAAGACAGGGCAATGCAGCGGGCACCTTACGCTCCCCCATCCCTGCGCCCCCGCCCTCCCCCCCCCCGGGTCTAAGAACCTCCATATGTGTCCTCAAGCAAAACAGACCTGGGTCCAGGGAACATTTTACCACCTCCTCCCTTTTCTCCTCCTATCATCTTAGCCAACACGTCCTTTAGATTCTCACTCCAGAACACAGTCCCCAGCTCTGTCATCTACTTTCTCAACTCCCTTTCCCAGGCTTTCGGTTTATTCGACCGCTGTGAGGGTGTTTGGGTTTCAGAGTTATCTCTGTCCATATCTGGTCTTCACCGCCTGCAAGTGCACACTCGGAAGCAGTGAGCAGATCATAGAGAGCCTGACCACACCCCAACACACACACCACAGGTCAGAGTTCAAAATGCAAAGTTGCTAGGTTTTCATCTGTGTGTGCCTTAGAAGGAATGGAATCTATTGTTGTCCATTTTGTTAAGAGCAGACTTTTGCACTGTTATGCAGTGCCAAGGTTAAGGAGTCCTGACTTGTCCTGAAACTGTGAGTAACGTTCATGTAGACCTTTGCTGTGACCTTCCAGGGGACTGAGCACTCAGGGTTAAAAATTATTACACACTTCAGACATAAACAAACATCGCTGAGAGCCACAAGCTAATGAGTATTGTGGCTATAGATATTAATTGTTGAAGACAGGTAGAGAATAGGTATACAGTAACATCTGCATTCTAAATCCCCAGGTGAATAATATCCTGCCTTGTTTCCTTTCTTTTTGTTTTCTAAAAATAAGGTCGTTCACCACGTGGCAGCTCAATGTGGTGAGCTTAATTAAGAACTGCCCCGGGTCCCATTTACTTTGTATAGAAACCGTGTGTAGGGTGGAAGTCCAAAGGTGAAAAGCCCATAAAGTTTGAGTCTGGTTGTTCCTTGTGAGAGCACACGTTAAAGATTAATTCTTAAAGCTGCAGGTAAGAAATGCGCCCGAGGCAGGGACAGGAATAGTTCTTCTCACGAATAGAACGGAACCATGCTTAAAAACAACAATAGAGAGTGAAAACAAAACCAAGCCTACTTGCACTGACCGAAAGAATCATCTTCTAGGGCTGGAGAGATGGCTCAGCAGTTAAGAGCACTGGCTGCTCTTCCAGAGGACCAGAGTTCAATTCCCAGCATCCACATGTCAGCTCACAACTGTCTGTAACTCCAGTTCCAGGGGATCTGACAGCTTCACACCAATGCACATAGAATAAAGTTAAATAAGATATATATATATATATATATATACATACATACATATATATACATATATATATATATATATATATATATGAATCATCTTCTAATTTAACATGTTCTGGAGCAGAAAAGGGCTCCTGATACCTCAATCCTGAGTCCTTCATTAAGTGCAAGCTTTAAAGGTTGAAATGCTGACTCAAACAAACGCTCCCACAGCAACCGATACTCAAGTAGGAGTCTCTGGAAGCTCTCATTGAGGACTTGGGTGAATTGGCAATGAATCCTTGGAGTGGCTCACTCAGGAAGGCAAGGATCGGCAGCATCCCTCCAAGCCCGGTGACTAATCCTCCCACAGCCTGCGTTCTGCCCACCAGACCTCGCGTTCTTGTCTGGTACATCCTCCGCTCTTCTTGTTTCTCATTCAAGCCGTCAGAGATGGAGACGAAGTCTACCAAAGACTAGACTGCTATATGAAGCTGCGAGGCAAATGTATATCATACAAGGAGACCAGCAAAAGCAGGATCCACCACTCCGCAAAAGTAACAAAGGGAAGCTTTATAAAACGGTTATAACAATAAAGACTACCACAGTAGCCGTCAGGACAGGGTTTTACAAAGTAATCCACAAGACAAGTTCATTCCACAGTTGACTTGTGACGCTGTAGCTAAATGTGCAGCCATGGTGTTAGCTCAGTGCTCGCCTTACTTCCACAAGGATGCATTGGTCTCCATTTAACCCCCTCTCTTGCTCCCCCCAGACACTCTACAAGACCTTATTTGGCTCTGTTGTGCTATTTGTAGTCGCCACCAACTGATAACTGGTGACAAGACCACCTCGCTGCTTTTTCCGCCACAGTAGTGTTCTGATAAGAAACCTAAATCGCGGCTCTTTCCACCTTTGGTAATTCAAAATACCCCATGGGTTTCCACACTAGTACAAGAATCCAATAACTTTTATGGAAATAAGTTGTGCTGGGGTAACTTCCCAGAGATGACAAACACAGATTCCTGTCAGTTACCTAACAAGTAGGCTTTGCTGCAATGTAGCTAATGTCATTAATGCAACTATGTATCACAGACGTTAAAAGTCACCAGCTGAAAAAAAAACATGCTAGAGTTTTCTTATCTGCCATTAAATGCTATTAACTGACGCTGCCCAGGAGAAAGTCAGATGTGTGGTTATTTAAATAAACATCAAAACCACAGAATGGAGAGGACTTAGAAGTTAAAAAGCAACGTTCCTTTAGTTACACAATTGACAACTTAGCTCCAGATAACAGGACAAGACAGGCGGATAATCTTTGCAGGCTATAAAGCAGAAAAGATATTTGTGATATTCACAGCATGGAAATGAGAATTCTAGCTTGGAATTTGTGTGCCGTTGTGTGGGCTGAGAGAGATCAGAGGAAGCTGGGGGGCGGGGGAGAGGTACCTGTCAATTAATACCATTTGGCAGAAATAGACAGGCAGGCATGAATGAAAAACACTTCAAACCACGTGAGTGGTGCCTGACAGTTGAGAGACGCTAAGTGAAGCCCATTGGTTGGTTCAGAACTCAGGGCTTCCCTGAAGCTAAAACAGGAGAGTGGGGAGGGGCCACACAGGAGGTGGAACCAACTACACCAGTTTCAAATGCATTTCATTGTGCAAGCTGAGAAGGGCAGGGGTAAAACTCAGAACAGAAGGTCCCATGACCCAACAGCTAAATAAAGGAAGAGACAACAGTTGGTTTCGGAAGGTCATGGTAGCAAACCAGACCAGAAATGGAAGCTGCGGGGTATGGGACAGAGGAACAAGAGAACTTAGT